AGAAGGTGTTGAAGACCTAATAGGAATAACTTGAAGAATGAATAAAGTTTGATCATACTCATAATTTAAGAATGTTGTTATTTTTTAAGAATTTTAATCATTTTTGTTGATATTCTTTTAGAATATGTATAATTATATTAAAATGTATAAGGATTTTAGTCTGTAAGAATATATATATATTTGTATTTAAGTTCGAATGTATAAGAATATATTAGAATGTTTGTTATTTTTCAACATCTGATTCAAGAATTATGTTTTTCTTCAATAATATTCTATTAGAATAAAATTATGAAAGAACATCATTCTAACAAAAAATACTCTGACAGAATAAAAATCGGTAAAAATTGAAATTGAATTAATTAAAAAATTCAGATTTTTTTTTTAAATTAGGAGAATTAATCATCCCTAAAAATACGAAAATTTCCTTTTATAAATGTAGTTAATTGTCCAAAATACCCTTTTGCTAAAAATTGTGTGATTATATGGTACATGTTACCCCATTGTAGTATCATACACTCTCAAATCATGTTCATTGATTAATTTCATCCGTTGGTCCAGATCTGTGCATTCTGGCACACAATACTTAGTAAAAACAAAATAACCTAAACCTATATATATATATATATATATATATATATATATATATATATATAACGTAAGGCGACATTTTGTTAAAGTTTGGCGGCAAATTCAAGCCTTGGAGCCATAACAAGCTTTTTTTTTTAAAACTTTCGTCATGTGCAAGTGCAAGGATATTGATATTTGAGAATTTTAGAGAGCAATTTGCCGAAAAGCTTGATTTCTCATTAAAAGGGAACCACTACATATACACCAATTTACACTAAAAAACATGGAGGGGATAAGGAAAGTAAATAAGATATACGATTTGACATGATTTGAATAATGACAGGATAAGAAATTAAATATCCTTTCACTTCCCTCTCAAGTTGGAGCATGAAGATCCTGAATGTTCAATTTTCCCAATAGAAATTTGAAAGGCTTCGTTCCAAGCTGCTTTGTCTGTTATCTAGTTTTGAAAGCTGGTAACCGTAGGTTGAATTTCTTTGGACCGTACTCGTTCTCGAACAAAAAATATCTATCTCCACATGTTTGGTCCGTTCATGAAATACAGGGTTGGTGGAAATATATCGGGAAGCTTCATTGTCGTGGTACAAAGGTGTAGGGTCGTGTTGTGGAGCTTCAAAGTCTTCCAGTAGCCATCACAACCGCAAAACTTCCCTAATCGTGGTTGCCATGGCCTGGTTTTATGCTTCTGTTGAAGATCAAGAAACCACAGATTGTTTCTTCATCTTTCAGGAAATAGGAGAGCCTCCCAACATAATCAAATATGTAGTCTTTGATCGCCTAGTAACTAAACATCCAAGCCAATTAGCATCCCAAAATGATGTAAGGGTTAAATCTCCCCGTGATGGTAGGAACAGGAGTGGCTTTCAAATAACGTAAAATCTGGGAGGCGGCATCCGTATGTTGTTTCTGCGGGTCAGTTACAAATTGACTAAGAGTATTCACGAAGAATGTGATGATAGGCCTTGTAACTTGAAGATACAACAACTTTCTAATGAGCCATATATATCGATTTGCGTTAATTGTCACACCTCCTGTGGCTATCGACGGAAGTGCCGAGGGGTGACGGTGATTACATAGATTTCCCATATCACAAAACGCAAACCATAATTACATTTTTATTAATAATGATGTTTATTATGTGGAATATATAAAACCTATCTATCTTCAAGCTGATTGTCCTTCTTTGCGTTGATCCTTACTTCATCCTAGGAATACATGCGGTATTGAAAACGTCAACTTGATGTTGGTGAGTTCACATGTTTAAATAAACATTTAATAAACACTTTTGAAAACTTTTTAGTAATTTTTACAATGATTATGATCATTTTTCTTATATTCCTTGTTTCCTAGATTTTATTATGTTATATCTTCCAAAGCTCATTGTATCTTGAAATTTATAGGTTTTCTGAATACTTTAAATTTTTAAGTTATGTACCTTTTTCCTAATTTATGATACACCCTTAGGATAATTTATCAATCCTATCTTAATATCTTTGTAGCATATTTTACGAATACTAACTTACTATCTTTATAGGATATTTTATCAATCTTATCTTACTATCTTTTTAGGATATTATACCGATCCTATCTTATTATCTTATTTTTACGATGTTTTACTAATCCTAACTTATTTTATTAACTACTCTTAGGCGTCCCTCTAGGTAGTTGATTCCTTGAGGTTGCCGGGATGTATTACCATAAGCCCTCATAATCGACATTGTGGACTAATAATTTCCCCACACGACGCTTCATCGGACGTTGAATGACACTTGTATAATAAAGAAAGTTATCCTACCGGGATTGTAGCTAGCAATCGCAGGCAAGGGTGTCAAACACAGTATAGATCTATACATATCTTTTTGGCTCTTGCAAGATTAATGATTATAGGTTCGTGGTAGCAGAATACATGCGGTATTGAAAACGTCAACTTGATGTTGGTGAGTTCACATGTTTAAATAAACATTTAATAAACACTTTTGAAAACTTTTTAGTAATTTTTACAATGATTATGATCATTTTTCTTATATTCCTTGTTTCCTAGATTTTATTATGTTATATCTTCCAAAGCTCATTGTATCTTGAAATTTATAGGTTTTCTGAATACTTTAAATTTTTAAGTTATGTACCTTTTTCCTAATTTATGATACACCCTTAGGATAATTTATCAATCCTATCTTAATATCTTTGTAGCATATTTTACGAATACTAACTTACTATCTTTATAGGATATTTTATCAATCTTATCTTACTATCTTTTTAGGATATTATACCGATCCTATCTTATTATCTTATTTTTACGATGTTTTACTAATCCTAACTTATTTTATTAACTACTCTTAGGCGTCCCTCTAGGTAGTTGATTCCTTGAGGTTGCCGGGATGTATTACCATAAGCCCTCATAATCGACATTGTGGACTAATAATTTCCCCACACGACGCTTCATCAGACGTTGAATGACACTTGTATAATAAAGAAAGTTATCCTACCGGGATTGTAGCTAGCAATCGCAGGCAAGGGTGTCAAACCCAGTATAGATCTATACATATCTTTTTGGCTCTTGCAAGATTAATGATTATAGGTTCGTGGTAGCAGAATTTAATCAGTCTAAAGATGAATAATAAAAGCTCACTAATGCATTAACCATAGGTTTTTATCTTTTCTTTAACTTAGTGATTCCTATAATTATCGCAATATAAATCATTTACTTTATATTTGATAATTATAATTTATATATATATATATATATATATATATATATATCTCATAATTATCTTTGTGTGTGTATGTGTGTGTGTGTGTATATAATATATATATATATATATATATATATATATAATTTTGCCATACATATATACCCTAATTATGGTTGATTTGGAAACAGGATACTAGGCCAGAGTAACGACTAGGTACAGTGCACATCCCTATAAATAACCAACATTACTTCTAGGTACTATGTTATCCTAGGAAATTAGTCAGCATAACATCTTGGTAATATCTCTTCCTAGACTATCAGTCATCATAACTCTTAGGCATAATATCATAGCTTACAAACTAGGTAGAGTATCTATGGTTACATTATCCTAAGGTGTCATGCTTTATATGACTTACTAATATATATATATATATATATATATATATATATATATATATATATATATATATATATGTAAGTCCCAAATTTGCTTGACGTATCAATCAGCTCCAATTGATGGTGCGGAATTCCAATTAATTGGATGATGCAATATCAAAATAAGAAGAAGGAGAAGAAGAATAAGATGAATCTTGAATGATTTGATGATTAGAATGAAGTTCCTTACAAGATTCACACACACTTAGCACCACATACACACACACACACACACACACTCTCTCTCTCTATTCTAGTCGTACAGACTCACACATGCACTCCTCACCCTTACATTTATTTATATGGAACATGGGCCGTGAACAGGTTCCCGACCGTGAACCAGTTCTCAGCCGTAAACACTCACCTGGGCCGTGAACACTCCTAACCATACACACACTACAGGTTCACGACCGAGAATCAGGGACTGATTTCGCTACTCCTAAGCTAGTCCCAGAAACCTAGTCCTAGATAGTGTTTTTTTATATCTGGGGCTGAAAATCAGTCCTTGATATGTAATAGTATCATAGACAGATAATCAGTCCCTGATAATATCAAATTCAGTCTTAAATGTGTTTTCTTTAAATCCACGATTTCATATAAGATCAGTCCCTGATAATAACTTTTGGGGAGTAAAAATCAGCCCTACATACTATATCATTCAGTCTCCAATACGCTTCATTAAAATCCTTACTCAAGTCATATCAGTCCCTGATAATATCTATTTAAGACTGAATATCAGTCTCAAATATTATCATCTTCTGTCTCTAACCTGATTTTTATTGACTGAATATCAGTCTCATATACACTTTCATTCAGTCCCTAACCCGATTTTTTAGTTACCGAATGTCAGTCTCAGTCTCAGATACATTTTCATTCAGCCCCAAACCAGATTTTTCAGTAACTGAATGTCAGTCTTAGATAGAATTTCATTTAGTCCTAACCTGGATTTTTAGTGACAGAATATCAGTCTCAGATACAATGCCATTTCCTCCTAACCTGATTTTCCAGTGAGTGAATATTAGTCTCAAATATAATGACATTCGGTCCCTAACATGCTATAGTTTCAAACCAAAGTTTAGTCTTAAACTAACATTTATAGTGACTAATATAAACAACGCGCTTGTTAATACACCAAATGAACTAGTATTAGATAAATAAACTATAATTTAGACATCATATCCAAATTTAAAACAACAAACAAAAATGTCTAAGAAACTAGTCAATAACTAAACCATACGTGAAAGAAGTTCCAAATTTTAATGAACGGTCAAGAATGTTACGCTTGCTACGCTTGCTCTGATAGATCTGTTATGTCATCGTACGCATGAGCTTCATCTTCATCGGGTGGACATAATATGTTTTGAGAATCCGGGAACTTCGAGATAATAAACTGGAACATTTTTTCACATTTTTCCTCACTTTGTTTGACTTTTTGTTCGTTTATATGAACCTCCTCCTCAAGTGCAACAATCTTACTTTTCATATCTTCTTCGCCTTTTGAGGCTCCTTGAGATGTTTCTGCGGTTGATAACAGATGTATATCTTTTTTCCTCATAACAGGTCCACTTGAAGCCTCCCATCCAGATAGTAATGTTTTATGTTTGGCACAAATAGTTTTAATGACTTTTTTCTCTATGTCGTATTCCATTTCTTGAGTAACGCTTGTTCCCGCTGAAATTAATTTCGCGCATTCTTCCTCCTTGAGTTGGAGAATATTTTCTAATACAACATAAAAACATATTATAATAACTTATAACACCAATATCAATATATTATAACTAAATATCAATATTAGTCAAGAAATCATTCTTACGTATTGAATGCGTGACTCATCATTTATCCATTTCTTTATAGGATCAAAATGCAACTTATGATATAATTCGATTGGGCTAGGGGGCATCTGAGTCTCTTTATTTGTCTGCAACAATAAATATTAACATAACTAAAGGTAAAAAATAATTTTTCTTGAATATATTAATTTAAATATGAATTAATTTGATAGTTTACCATGGCAAATTTGTGATTTGCTATTGATCGTGAGCCTCCTCTACTTGGAATAACAAGTTTTCCCCGATTATGTTTCATTTGTTCAGCATATTGCTACAAAGTTTGAACTATATGTGGTTAATAATATATAAATAAGAGTTAATTACATAAAATGTGTGTATGTGCAAGATTGAGAGAATTTTGTTACAGGTGTATATTTTTGTGTAGTTGACAGCGCATGTTTTATAATACATAATACTATAAGACATAGAATAACAATTCTAAGATGAAATTATAAGGTTTATATAATTTAATAATTACCTTCGCTTTATCCGATTCCCAATAATCGCACAAATAACCCCAGTCTTCTTCGCTACGACAATCTGGCTTCATTTTAGATCTTGCAAATTGTGGATCTATCATTCCTCCATTTTTCTTCCAATAATCTTTGAAAATATTTCGTGCGTTTCCATTGCCTCCGCATTTGTTCATCTACATACTCCATCAGAACTTTATCTTCGTGCGGTAATTCAAATTTTTCCTACATTTAATACATAAATTAAAATTGAACGTTATTAATAAAATTTTAATAATAAATTACTTCCATTTATGAAGTTTAAATTTTGACAAAAAAATGAATAGATTGATTAAAATGATATATAACTTACACGTAATCTGTTAATCATTTCTTCTTTATTTTCTTTTGCTACTTTCTCCCATGTATGGAATTCCATTTGACAAAAGTTCCGCATCGCAATTCCAACCTCCGTTGCAAAAGATATTGTTGAATCCCAATGAATTTCTTTGTACACTATAAAAATACCATAAATTGACAACCTATCTTTTAAATTAGAAATATTATGCATCATTTATATAAAATAAAGGACGCTTGGATTCATTGTATAAAATTAGAAATATTATACATCATTTATGTTAACTAATATAAAGAAATGGCTATATAAAACGGATGATTAATTGTCTGAAAATAACAATCGACACAATCCATTGGAACCTAAATAAATATTGAATGCTTTCACTTTCACTGTGACACTGTAGAACATAAACTAAAAGCATAAAGAATTAAAAAATATAAACTTAATTATGTACAACATAATACATATTTAGTATAATATATTAAATATTATATGGTCTTAATACGTTAGAATTCAAAGGAATGATAAGCACTTGTAGCTTGACAGAAAAACATGATACAGAGTAGGAGCTAATTCACTTAATTCACAAAGATTACTTATCTGAGAACTAATTCACTTAATTCACAAAGATTATCACACAAAATAAACAAACATAGGAATCACAGCAGGACATGGATAGAAAAACATGATTTGTTTAGAAAAATGTGAATAAAACTTAACTAAAACGTCAAAGATACATATCTTATTCATACTAAACCAAAACAAATCCAAATCTAACAAAAAAAACTAAAAATAGGATAGTTTTAACCAAAATACCCATGGGTCAAACCTGTCCTAAATTTTGATCATTCCAAAAGATGCCATGAAAGGAGTTAACAATTATGGAGTAAGGATAGACAGAGACGAAGAGATATAAACTGAATTGATGGAGAGAATTAATACAACAAACGAAGGATTTGGTTTTCTTTTCAGTTGTCTTCTTTGGAAATCACAGTGGAATTCATGCTTGATTTTTTATGGGTTTTTTCTGATAAAGAAAGAAAGGCTAAAGCTCTATAGATATGATTGATGAAAAGAAGTCTAAGTTTGGGTGTTCACGTGTTCATCAAACAAAGTGAATATTGATGGAAGCTCTTTAGTTCTTTGTGATTCTAGTCTCGCTAAATCAAATAACACTGACCGAATAAAGAAGCCACGACCAACATGAAATCAAATAACAAAAGCTAATGAAGCAAGAGAGAAGACGATTACTTACCTCAGATTGACCAATGTTTCACCAATAAATGTATCCTGTAGCCTTGGATTTCGATGCTTGTAGAGTTCCTTTGGTAGCGGTTCCTCTCGTAAGGTATTGATAGGGTTTAGTGTTGGCTAAACCCTTCATCTATAGATTTCAGAATAATTGATTTTGGGAAGTGATTGTAGTCTCGTTAATTTCGCAATTTCATTTGATTCAGTTATGTGATCCATAATTCCATATGCACGCTTCTCTTTTCTTCTCTTTTTTTTTCAATTTTTATATGATTTTAATAAATACATGGATTTTGAAAATTGTTTATATAATTTTTCTAAATTAGTTAGTATTATGAATTGATTAAATTTTGAAAGTTAAACTTATTGAATCAATAAATTTGATAAAATTAAAAAGTTATTGAATCAAACTTAGCATTCAAAAATTCTTCAATTGGTTAAGGTTCACCAAAACAAATAGTATCATACCATCCCTTGCTTTGGGTAGTAAAATTCGTGACTGATTCATCAGTCTCTGATATATGACATCTATGACAAACTACTCAGTCTTAGATACTAATATAAAGTCAGTTATAAGTGTTTATTTGAATGTCAAATAGTAAATGTCCGTTAGGGATTGAAATTTAGTCTTTAGAAAGTTTCTCTTTCAAAGGAACAATCGATACACTTGTATCAGTGACTGAAATTCAGTCCCTAATAAGTTCCTTACACAATCAAAACTGACTCAAGTCTATCAGGGTCTGAAATTCAGTCCCAAATAACTTTCCGTCCAAAGTCAAAATTAGCGATAGCCTATTCAAGACTAAAATTCAGTCCCCAATGTGTTTCCCACCAAACCTAAACCGGCGTAAACTGATTAAGGACTGGGTTTTTGTGACATCCCCAAAATCACGGCCAGAAAAGACCGGTTTCATTTATGTTTTTAAATAAAATCAGAGTAATCATTTGATTAAAAGAGTTGCGGAATTTGTTCCCAAAACAAAATATGATAAGAATTTATCAAAGCATTTCATAAAGAAACGTATTTTTATTATATAACAAAATCTCGGGATGTCATGTTCCGATACAGACCAAAAGCATAAACAATACAAAATAGACCTTACACAGTTATATACAACTACAGGTCTATAAACAAAAACATTTTCACAAGTTCTCCAACTTATGCTCTCGCGTCACTACCTGTAATACAAAGAAACTGAGTGGATCAGGCTTGGGAGCCTAGTGAGCATATAGGGTTTTCAACCCACAATAAATAATTATATTTAATTTCACCAACCAACAATAACCCGATTACCCATTCCCGTTATCCTCACTTTACGTCCCTATGACAACAACTAATACAAGGTACCTAATCTAGGATTTTCATCGGGACGGACATTACTGCAATGGGGTTTCCTTGACAATAGATGTCCTAAAGGCAACCATGAGGGGGATAGAGTACACCGGTGAACACATCATTCACAACACCTATAGGTTATGAGCCTGCTAGCGTTCCACTGGACTGTCTAGAAAGAGTCTGTGGTCGTCATCCATACTCCGCTAAATAACTAGATCAACAACAACATCGAGGCATCTCATCATTTTATTTCATCACACACCAACTGTCTACCCATGTTCTACCCAACATATTAGTAGATAAAATATATACATTTATATACAGCTTAAAACCTGTACAAAACATCCATTCAACAACTAGTTCAAATAAACAAATAATATATAAACACATAGCACGTATTTTATAAAGAATACTTCATATCTATGTGTTAGAAGAAAACGAATATACACTCACTTGATCAGAAGATGATCGGACAGCGCTACGGCTCTAAGAGTAGTATTCTTCGGTGAAACTGTGATCTCTTCACACACCGGGCTTCTCGCGGGCAGAGCTTCGGCTCGGAAACTCTTTTCTTCTCGGGATCTTCGGGCTTTGGGACTTGCTTCAGGTCTCGGGATGATACCGGGGCTTCGGGGGGGTTAAAAGAGGGCTTAGAGAGAGTATCGGGAGTGAGAGAGAAGAGATTGAGCAACCAAACTCGGCTGCCTCTTGAATTCTATTTATAGGGCCAACATCATGTACTCACGTCGTGAGTTTTAAGTGCTCACGTCGTGAGCACAGTAGGTCACTACGTTCTTCATTCGTCCACTTGCTCTGGAGGACGTCCAGTCTATTCTCACGTCGTGAGCACTGTGCTCACCTCGTGAGTTCTGACACAGCCTCGAATATTGTGTTCCGAACTTCATAAATTCATATCTCTCGCATACGAACTCCGTTTCCGACGTTCTTTATATGCACGCGTAGGTGAGTTCATGCTCTACAACTCTCGTTTAGACTCCGTTGTCTAATTTTGACTTTATTTTTATTATATTATTTTTAGTAGGCCGAGACAGGAAAACTCCGTTATAAATCCATAACTTCTTCATCCGACGTCCGTTTTCATCTGTCTTTTTACCGTTGCACTACTATTGACGAGATATTCGATTCTCGTTTAGATTGTTTCGGCCAAATATCACTCGATCTCAATTTCGAGATTTGGGTTGTATACCGCTAAGTCGAAACTTAGAAAAATCATAACTTCCTCATACGAAGTCAGATTTAGACGTTCTTTTTTATGCATGCTCTCGGTTTAACGAACTCTACGACTTTCCTTTAGATCACTAAGGCTAGATATCGCTCTATCTTAAATTCATATTTTACGTCATTCAGCGTCGTGCCGGTTCTGTCGCAAAACTTCGACAGGTCATAACTTCTTCGTTATAACTCGGATTTTCAGCATTCTTTATATATTCGGAAACCTCGTCACAACCACTACGCCTTCATGTATCAATATCGGTTTTATCTAAATTTTTATTTTTACGCTTATTTTTATTCTTAATTCAATTAAGCCACATAATTAAGCATAAAACACATAATACTCAAATAATACATTCTTATTATTTCAAAATGAGTTACAAAGGTTAACCTAGACTATCACATCAATATTAATGCCTAGCCTAGAAACACGTGCGTTACAGTTTTAGTCTCTAATAGGTTTCATCAGTCTCTAATGAATCATACATTAAAATCAGTCCTAGATAATATCAAAGACTAATTCGTCAGTCCCAGATACATGGTATATAGGACTGATTAATCAGTCTCTGATATGCTAGTCATAGATGCCCCTTTTTCTTGTAGTGACACTACATGGACCGAAAACTCAATTGCCTAGAAAAACAAAGTATAAACCATATTTTTGACCCAACAATCTCCCCCTTGGTTTATAGCTTTCTTTTCTAATAGACCCAACAAACTCCCCCTAAAAATGTAGCTGGCTTTTCTTGTCAATCTTCATTTGGAGCTTGGCTTCAATGTTAATCTTCGATTTCTTCACAGCTTCAAGATGAACTTGATGAATCTTCAATAAATGACTTCATCTTGAGCAGTTGGGCTTTTCTTCAAAATTTGACTCTGAACGCACGTTGGGTGTGGAGGCATCTTGTAGAGATTCTTGAAAATTAACGCTTTCAGATTGAGAATCTTCAGAGAGAAAAACATAGAACGAATCTTCTGGATCACTTCAGCAGGTACAAGATAGCAGCAAATTGATTGAG